GGGTGGAGCAGTGCGTAGGCATACATATGTAGACGGAGAAGAACTGTTCTCCGTTGCATGAACTCCTGAACTACCTCCCTTGCAGCGTGCGTTCCGGCGCTGTCTCTTAAAGGAAGAATTTTCGAACGGATCCTTCGCACGCATTGATGGAGTTCTCTAACATTCCATGCTGCTGTGAGAAGTTATCCCCACTGATGAATGCTCGCTCGCAAAGCAGTTCCATGTAAAAGGTGAGCATCTCTTCCAAGGTGTTTGAACAGACCTTTAGATGACCTAATCTGTCTTCGAAATTGTAGTGCCCTGCCTTGAGCAGCAAATTACTGTAGAGGAATCGAGGTCATAATCCTTATACATTTCTTTTGCTCCATTCGGCAGCTTTCATGCCCGCGACCGAGCAACACAAAGGATTTTTGAGATGGCTCAGGATTCGCGGTTTCAAGACAATCACCGAGAACCGTTATTAATTCCGGCACTAATGTTAGTATTACGTTCGTATATGTTGAATTAATAATGTTAGTGTATGTTGAATCTATCAGTGTGACGCTGACAAAGTAAAGGCAGGCAGTACAGCTCAAAAAATGTGACAGATTATTTGTCAGCCTGAAAGATTGCAATCCTTAGGGCTATCGTCGCTACTTCGCAAACTCAACACCCCACCCGCATTAGAACGATGCAGTTTCGCTAACGGCTGTTTTTTTTCTCGCATAAGCAGTGAGAGGAAACTACAACACATGGCCATTTCATTTACTCATTGTTCATGCAAAGCTAGTGAATCATGTGATAGAAGGGAAGCTCGTCATCAGTCAGTCAATATCAGATCTGCATTCTTATGACAGCGCTTCTATCGTGAACTGAGGCTATAAGAATAGCGATCAAACCGAACCATTCAAACTTTTGCATTCTTTGCAGTGCAGGTAGAATCAATTTAAAGGCAAAGGTCAGCACGCACCCACAGAGACGTTGCCACGCTCAGAATTCCAAACGACGCTGAAATAAAACCTCAGGGGATATATTGTCCGCTATCGGCGCCTGGCGGCGCTGTGTCCGCCCACCTCTGGAAGTGGTGCGTGGCTGGCAGTACGTGTGAGTCAGCCGGGTTGATTGGCTTATCAACTGACGGCACAGAGCCAGTAATGTCCGGCATTTCTAAAAAACTCGTTTGAACGTGCCTCTCTTCTAAGTGAGCCTCCTTCACTGCTAGAAAGAAAGAAGTTTCGTTTTCGGCTTTGTCGACAGTTTCTTTTCGTTTTTTCCTCTATTGTCATCCCATCGGATCTCTACACTCAATTTCAAGCGCCATGGAACCCCTCATGAAGCCCAACTTCTGCCTTCAAGAAAAGGCAAATCAATCACATTTTGCTTCTTAAAAGCTATCTGTGGGCGGCCCTGAGCCAATTACAAGGCGTGTCGTATAGATAAATTCAGACATCTGAAAGATAAGTCGGAAAGAAGCACTTTTCAATGCTATACGAAGTTATTACGCAAGAAGCAGTAGGGCGGCAAATGTAGCGGTACGAAACACGCCGAAACACATTGTTCCTAAACTTTCATGTATAAGAATTCACCTTTATACTAGTAGTTGGTTTGTAGTCTTACAGAACTTGAGAGTTGCCTTGGTCACTGGCAATGCTCATCTCTGTCTAGAGTGGTAACGGACGAAGTTTTGCTGTGCAACCAGACTCAGAGTACTCATTGCTGACAGCTTTTCGAAGCCAAATAATAAGGTGATGGCCTGGCAGTGACTTTATAAAGTACCAGATTTTGCTCACTAGTGCCCTTAGAACAAGATCGACAAAAGACGAAGGCGAGGGTAATTCTGAGGAAAAGACCAGGAGACGTGAATCTACAATTATCTCTACAATTACTGGTAGTGATACGTTCAGCGGTTTGGAAAGGGTCGAAAGTATCTCGGACTGCGTTCGGATCTAAGGAGAAGATTGCGCAGACTGGTGGAAGCCATGCATGATAAGATCTGCGCCATATCAACCAGCGGAAGAAGTCGACCACTCAGAGCGGAGGAAAGAACTGAATGCTGCGAGCAGCGACTGAAAACCACGTCGAAAAGCATCTCACAATGCCGTAGATGATATTCTTTATTACCCTCCGATTCCAGATTTTTATTTCCATGGTAACTTTAATGCTTGAATGTTGGCTCCAATCAGAAAACACTTTCATCACTAAATATAATGCGCTCGGATGGAAGTGAAATCATATGACCTGTTCCATCTGCAAGGGAATGGTTTGAAATTACAATATAACTTTGGATGGGAATTAGGACGAGAAAAGCAGTTGCAGGAAGGAGCGATAGCCAAGTAATAAGCCAAACAACCTACGTCGTTTGAGTTTTACCTTTTGCAGGTGGACTTCGTAGATCAACTAATGTGGAACTCGTTGCGCTCCAGACATGAGGGCTGCAGCGTATTTTCTTGAGAAACGAGTTGAGAGATTTTCTCAAGAAGAAACGACTTTTCTGAATTGTCTGCGTATTCCTACAAGGAAGTCGGGACACACAAACACCACGCCATAGGAGCAAAGTAAGTACTTTTTACGTGTAAAATAGTAACATAGAACATGATCATTTGATGTTTTATTCTATGCAAAGCTAAATAAACGCGACTCCTATTAAGCTTATTGTTGACTGTGCAACCGCCAAATTTCACTCCAAAATGCCAAAAAGCTGCAAAAGTTATCGAAAGTTCCCGTATATCTTCCTGTTGAGGCAAGAGAACTTTGGAGGTATTCTGAGCTTGATGCGCGGTCGTTAAGGAATGGTAGAGCTTTAAATTGTTGCTGCGAATCAAACATTCGGGGTGGTCCTAACTTACTTGGGGTGAGGAACCATGCGGTGGCACAGCGCTTCTGTTCATCTGCACCTCTAGCGCATAGTATTCCGTGCCAATTTATTTCGAAGCTATGCTGTGGCGAAATAGTAACGACCCCTAGACTTAGTCCTAAAAATGCGGGCGAACATATCCACCGAGTGGTCGCCTGCCCCCTCCCCCCACTGGGTTGACTCCACCGCCGGTATGATGAGTTATGTACAAAAATGTCGCCGTTTTCATGATGTACATGCATACGTTGTTCCTCATGAAATGGTATATTATTTGCCATGATCGGGGAACTGTACAAGGTCAGAAAGTCAGTTCGTCAGAAAAAGGTCACGTAAAATCTTGGTGAAGCGAAATGAAGCACACTCGTCCTTTCTCTCCGCTGCATCTTGAAAAAGAGAGGAGGGGTAGGAGAGCTAGGAGAAAGAGAGAACTTTCGATGCACTAGCTTTTTTAAGTTCGGAGCAGTGGCCATGCTATACGGCAGCGTGCGCTGGACTCACGACAGCAGCTCAACTCCACTGAAACGAGGATTCTGAGATGGGCTGCGCTGGACGCAAGCATGATGGAGAGGAGAGGAGCTCCGGCACGATTTTTCAATCTCCTTATCGTTTATTGCTTAAAATCACTAAATTTTTAGGGCGATTGGTTAATTGTATTGTACTCAGCATGAGACTTGGAACGCAAGAAGCTAGTATTTGAATAGGATGCCGAACTGGATATGAAAAACGCGTTAGTTCTTTTGAGCGTGATTGTTCTCATTTTGGTTGAGAAGCCAATGGAGGGAAAGCAGGCAGATGTTCAATATATGATGCAAAAGCCGTGACTTTTAGCAGCCACATCAAGCATTTTAATTCCTAGGATTGCTGGCGTCGCGACGACGTTCCAAACCACAAAGTTTCCATAAAAAAACCCCTTTCCACGTAAGAACCGAAATCGTTGAGGTTTGATGAGACTGCGCCTTTACTGTACATCGTAGCTCGGGCAAAACGCAAACTGCAAAACTGTTTTTAGAAATACCGTACCCACATGTGGAAGAAATTCTTCTGATTCTTGCAAATGTTTTCAGCATGCTTCATATAACGAAGCGCTTTAATGTGATCAGAGATTCTTGCTCCGGGAAATCATGTCATCGGTCTGCTCAATTTCTTGGTTGATGTGAGTGTCTCATTTAACTTAAGAAGCATCAAAGGCCTTGAGCATGGTTGAATTTTGCTTGAAGTGGCAGTGCTCAGATATTCTCGACAGGTTGTGAGGGTTGTGAAGTGGGAACAGGATTCATTTTGGTCTATAGTTTCCTTCAATGCAATTTTGATGATTTCGGTTGAATTCGTACGGAGGTCAGAATTCTAAGCGATATGGAGGCAAAGAAATAGCGTCCATAACTACACAATCCAAAACACACTCCATTTATTTTACTTTGGGAGGAATTTCAGCAGAGCAAGCTGTCCTTTACCGTAAGTCAATGTTCGCCTCATAGGCTATATTCAGTAGTTGAAGAATACCTCTCAATCTCCACGAAAGTCCTCTTATTTAGAACTTCCCTCCCACGACGCCAGCTCTCCCCTAGAGGCATGGTCAGGTTTGTTTCTATCGTATTTAGATAGATAGTTTCCACCCGCGTCAGTTGTAGGTATGCTAAAGTTTACCGACAGAGTTGATTTGCAATATGAGCTTAATCGCTGCTGCACTTGCCGTGTGCTTGCACTTTCGTAGTCAAGATGCTCTTGTGATACGTGCAGCAGCCCACAGAATGACGCTGGAGCTGGCAGTAGGTCCACAGCAGTGAAATGGAGAATAACCACAGCTTTTAGCACACCGTTGCGATTGAACTTTCCGCGACGTCTATTTTAGGTGGCTCCGGCTCAGCTCTGCACGTTCAAACAACTACCACCTTCCGCGATGATAAAAATTCCAACAGTCCCACTCAATTCACCTGCCATTAAGGATAATATGGAAGATTGCATGAAGATGTGCTACGAGGATTCTTCTTGTGTTTACGTCATCTCCTTCAAGGTTTCTTGTGAATTTTCGTTTTTTGTAAGAAAATGGAAGACTGGTTCCTTTCGAAAAAACAACGCACAAGAGTTCACTGCCATTTTATTCAACTCCTGTGTCCCTCGTATAACCGAGTCAAAAGCCCTGAATAGTGACCTGGAACTATTGGAACCAATACAAGAGCTATTCTTTACGTCGAGCATTATCAGGCATAGAAATAAATTGCACTATTCGCATGAGTGTAGGCGACGAGAGGTTCGTCATTTGTTTTTTGATTGTGGTAAGAATCTTCTTCAAAAGTCCCTTCCATGTAGAAACATATCCAATTGTCTATAATTTCGCATTACTCAAAGCGCGCTATTCAGGCGATTTCTCTTACACCAACGTTGATGGTCCCCTTTAGAAACCCCTCAAGGGTAATAATGCTTGAATCTTACCTTACCATTAGTGCCTATAAACTTCTTCATAGTAGCACCAAGAGATTGCACCAGCTAGGAATGATCCAAATTAAATGGTACGTTCAAAAGAATACTTTACATGTCAGATGAGCAACAGAACTGTAGAATTTTGACAACTGTTGCGTGCTTTATCTCTTTTCTTCTTTGAGAAGGGGTTGCACCACTATGTAATCCTTTTTTTCAAAGATTGGCCGGTGCATGTCTTCTCCTTCTGGAGGCTACAGCTGGCCTGTCAATACTGTGCATTACGGTAACAGCTTGGGTGGAGACGTTTTTCAACTGGATCGAAACGCGACCGACAAGGAGTGTCCAGAGTTAGGAGAGTGGTTGGAAGAGAGAACCCGTGATCTAAACGGCTACTAACTGAACCGACTGTCCCAAATTTCAACTTGTCGACAGTAACAGTGAACAGTCATTTTTCAGTTTCTGTGTTGTGCCAATATGCTGGAAAATTCAGTAGTTTTCTATTGTCTTTTCTCCAAAGCATTTCTGCCGAATAAAGACGTTGAGATGATTTTTTAGATTTTTTTTTCGAAGTGCAATCCTGGTGATTTGGTTGCTGGGGCTTGATGTGTCTGCGACTACAGGAATTCACAGCCTTTCCATAGTCAATTGTACATGGGCTTCCTTTGGCACCAGTTGCTTCTGGCCAATCCTCGGACCGTGCGCGCGATAAATAGTCCCTCTTTATATTACATTGTTTATGGCTTCGCAAACTTACAAGCATTCTGAACAGAGTTAGAAACTAGGTTCAGGTGAATCCATTTCTTTTTGAATCGGTTAGCTTGCGCAAGATCAAAAGGACAGCTCCCTGGTGTGACTACTTTGGGTGCCGCGCCACTAATTACATTTCTCTTCGGAATCGTAACTGCCTAAGTATGGACACGGCACATAGAGAAAATACTGCCCAACAGGAGGTGCTAAATTTGGGGATGAAGCGCAATCTTCACATTATTCCACGACTTCAGCTTCGATCATGCTTACACTAATAGCTGAAGTTATTCTTGTCCAGCGCTTGCCTTTCATGGTAGGATAGTTCAGATAACCTACCAGCTGATTTTGCATGAGAACAACACAACAATACGAACACCATGTCGTTACCTAGCGTTTAAGCTTACGATTTTTGGATAATACCGTTGAGCAAGCCGGTCTTTCTAGAGGATAACTGTGATACGTATGTACGTACTTGGGTATGGGTTTGGTATGTTATTTACGCATAGTTGGCAACTGAAATAGGCATAGAGGATATCGAACACTAACACTATAATTTGGGCTCGCATACCTCATTCATTTGTCTCTGAATGAAAGGAATGAAGGACATCGTGTCCCTCGTGCGAGGAGGGTCCGCTGGACAACTCTTGCACGCGACAGAGACGAATTAAGTCGTTGCTCGAGCAAGGGAAAAGAAAAAAGAAAAAGAAAGGGAAGGGAAGGAAACAGGATGAGATAGCAATGACATCGCTTGGAGTGCTTTGTGGACCAGATTCTTTCGCGATTCGAACACATTCGAGCCATAGTGGTTTCATTTTTTTCTGGATACGCCTGCCTTTGACCGACATACGTAGGCACTAGACTCTCCAGAACTACTCAGTGATACGCCGATTGATTCATTTGCAAAATTATAAAAGTTTCTTTTGCTCCGCTCAACGTCCAGAATTGTGGACCACTTCTGATCATTTTCAGCTGCCTCATTTGCACGCTTAACTATTTAAATTTGAAATTTTTGGCATTGCCCCCCCCCCCATTTTTTGCAAAACCATCTGACAATTTTTTTTCAATATTGCTGAATTAACTAGGTGACTATCTAATAGTGCACAGCGTCGGTCAAAGGCAGGCGTATCCAGAAAAAGAGGAAACCACTATGGCTCTAATGAGTTCGATCGCGAGCGAATCTGGTCCACAAAGCACTCAAGCGATGTCAAAGCCATCTCATTTCGTTTCCTTCCCACCTCCCTCCCTTCCCCTCACCCCACTTCTCTCAACTCCTCAACCTATAGTGATAGAAGAGATAAAAAGCATCTGAACAATGAACCAAATGATATCCATTACAAGTTATGCACTGTGCTTGAAGCTGAGGCAATCATGACGTACTGTCGCTATCCAGATGTGGAAACCCCAATCCTCTCCGAGCTGCTCACTGCTAATGCACTGCTCCAAAGAATAGTGAAGAGCTGACGACATAAGAACAGTCTAACGTTAATGACGAAACGACAGCAGATATTCCTGCGAATACAGTGTTGATGAAGAGCAGTGCTGCGCAGCCATAATCCCGACACAGGGATAGCAGCCAGGCTGAAGTCAGACCCAGAGCCAGATCTTCGCAAGCTAGCAACCTCGCTCTTTTTTCGTCCTGTAGTCGACGATGGGACAAAAACACATCTGTAAATAACCAGTTCAGCCTGCTGATAATAAAGTCTAACTAAAAGCAAACGATGAATGAATGGATCTTTCTAACCATATACACAGGAGTAGCGCCTTTCACTGCGCTATGACGTGAAAACAGCGCGAATGTTGTTGGCACATATTCATGCAGACTTCGGTGTTATAGTTGAAATAATGTGGAGTCAGGGTGTGCGTTAGTATTTTACCAGAGAAGACCAATCATGCAGAACAGAGTCGGGGTTGTTCGAAAGATAACTTTGGGAGAAGTTAATTCTAAATGTTTACTGCACAAAACTATCATTTCCAAGTCACTGTAGTAAAACCAGTTGCAGGAAAGCAACACAGCCTTGTCTTCAAGTCACATTAGAAAGAATGTTCATTTAGGCACAAGGCCTCAGTGCGCTACGAGATCTGAGAGCTCCTGCTTTATTCTGGAGACAGCACTGCTCTACTTATCCTCAATGGATCGTACCTGAGAGAAAGGAGTGCGAGCATGGAAAAGGGCGATGGAACACATCCCACCTATCTCATTTTCTGGGTGGACTTCTTGCTGCCCTCTTGACATGACACGAAAGTGTACTTTCTGTGGAAGCAATGGCATTACCCCTGAACTTGGTGGAGACCTTTGCTTTCCTGTGCTTCCCTGCTCTGCATGGGCCATGACTGCCCGAAAATGGTTTCGTAAACTTTAAGGCTCGTTAGCCCCAATTCTAATCGAACCCATGAAACACTCCATTGAAAAGATTCGAAAATGGTAATGGAACCCGAAACCTTTTCATTGCCCTCCGAGTCATATAACCTTGAATTTAGATTTGCATTACGGTATGCCTTACTATTCTCCATTGGTAGGTATATCAGCAAAAAAATGCTGCCCAGTTACCGTATTCCACCGCAGGTGAATCCTAGTTTGCGACAATTCCCGGCGGGGGGGGGGTCGTACTTCTGTGAGATGTAGTGGTAGGGTCGTAAGATGTAGTCTGTAATTTATTATGGCAGTTGAGTTCATGGTGAGTAGGCTGCGTAGGGTGAAGAAATATTGACGTTTCATGTACATGTGCACTTCCTACCTTAGATTCGGCGCTGGTTTGGAGGAAAAGTGGGTGTGTCAAGTGGTCTCAGAATTAAATCCTCTAGAAACAGCAACCATGATGGCGAGGGTGGTGAAGGGGGGGGGAGTGTCGTGAAATTTTTAATCGGTAGAATGGCGTTGCAAAAATGTCGGAAAAGTCGCCACGGTAGGAGCGACCCTAATTCCAAGTCCGCACCGTGGGCGCTAACGTTCCACGACCATCTTCGAACCGCTTTAATAGAACGCTTCATTGAGTTTGAATGAATATGGGGAGTATGAATCTTGAAGTTTATGAAACCATCTTTCGGATGGTCATGGTCCAACCAGAGTAAAAAGGCCTGGCAACGCAACATCCATTTTCATACCCATTTGAGGTGATTGTGTTGCCGTAGTTTCCTGAGGAAATACGCTTCTGCCTCACTTCGGGAGCGCAGTGGATTTGACATTGGTCGATCTACGAAGTTCACCTATGAAAGGAAGTCTGGAAACAACTTAGTTCTCTTGGGGACCAGGCTATCGTTGTTTCCCTGCTGCTGCTTCCCTCATCTAATTCCCTTTCGAACTCCCATTGTGATTTCAAATCCTTCCCTTGCGGATGAGACACGACATATGATTCCACTGTTTTCTCATTGGAACTAAGAGTCAAGCATTCGAGTCACCATGGAAATAAAGTACGGAAATGGAGGGTTATAAATACTTACATTTACGGCAATGTGAAATGCTTTTTGACGTGGTTTCGAATCGCTGCTCGCAGTATTCGGTACTTTCGTTGGCTCTGAGTGGTCGGTTTTCTCCGCTCGAGATACGTAGCGCAGATCCCATCATGCATGGCATCCCCCAGTCTACACCATCTCCATCTCAGACCCCAACCCCTTTTTTTAGATATTTCTTCGTTCCACTCTTTCTGAAGCTCTGAATACACCTCAGCCAGTGGATCGTAAGGGCTATAAATTACTGACAAGGAAAGGATGGTAGGTCGAAGTGGCCGTAGAAAATGAGATGTATACCACCTGATGCGTCTCCAGACGCTGATTCCAAATCTGCCTTCCAAATCTGCTAAACGGCTCTCCGAACGGAGTTATAGCTCAGTGGTGATGGTCCGGGGTGGCAGGTAAAAGCTCGTAGGATCGGTTCCTTTGCAAGTTTGTTGCTTTGCTTTTGTCCGCAACACTTCTAGCAAAGCAACCAACTTGCAAAGGAACCGATCCTACGAGCTTTTACCTGCCACCCCGGACCATCACCACTGAGCTATTACGCTTCATAACTCCGTTCGGAGAGTCGTTTAGCAGATTTGGAAGGCAGATTTGGAATCAGCGTCTGGAGACGCATCAGGAGGTATACATTTCATTTCGAACGGCCACTTCGACCTACCATCCTTCCCTTGTGAGGGGACGGAACTTTGAGGGAACCTTGGGGTAATGGGTCCACCCCTCAAGGTCTTTATCTAAGATCTACCTTCTCCTGTGTCAAACTTGTTCTTCGCGTCTTGGTCGGCAAAAATTTCACGATGTTTAGCACCGCTGTTTGGCTTTCGATTATTATTTGAGTCCGAAGACCTAACACATACGAATACTCCGACGATGAGTTTGATTGCACCACCGAAAACTCTCCGTTACCCCTCCAGACAGCGATAAAAATTGTTCACTTAAGCGGGTATACTCAATTGCTGTGAGATCACAGACCAACTACTAGAATAAAATGGATTCTTAAGTGAAAGTTTAGGAGCAATGTACTTCGTCCTGTTTCGTGCCACAGCATTTGCCACACTACTGCTTGTTACCCAGGTAAGACTCTCAGCGATCAACGCAGTCTAAAGCTAATTATAAACTAGAAGATTGGCGCTTTTGAACGAATATTAAGATTTTTCTAAATGACCACACATTCGAAAAATCGTCCCGTTGTTCCGTTTTTT